AAAGCCTGTCTCCCAATGCCACGTGCAGACCTGCAGCTCCTCGGAGATGGCTGTAGGGTTGGTGACTACGCCCCCTTCCTGGTGTGTGAGATGCTTGTATCCGCTGCCCCGTGGGATGGGCGCAGCCACCCTGTGTCACCCTCTGTGTTCTCATAGAAACTTCTGTGATAACATCGGGCTGTGTTCTTTTGGGTAATTCCGAACTCTGTAGTGAATTTTGGAGACTCCCTAAAAAATGTGGACTATTCAACATGTTCACACTTTGAGAACACAATACCATCTATCTAGGAACCTGGGGTACTTAGTAATTTCAGTGATTGGTATTTTGCTGAGTCTGTGCCTGAGGATGGGAGACAGCAGACACTCCCCGTGTCTGTAGACCGGCAAAGCTGCGTGGATGCTTTATGCAAATACACTATCAGCAGCTACAAGCAAAGTCAGAATGGGTGAGACCCTCTGCCGCTCCTACGAGCAGCACGGCTGAGCCTCGGTGGGAGTGGGCAGGGTTTGCTTCTGGATCGTTAAGATGCACATTAAAGTCTTTCCATGGGTCCTTAAGGAATTTAACTCCTGCTTCCTGTAGAATTGACATCCATTTATAAAATTTATCGTAAATGTGTTAGTTTATCACAATTAAATATTCCTTTCGTTTTCCAGATCCCCTGAGCTCCGACCAGGACTCTGCACACCGCCCTCCGGGCACCAGCAGCGGCTCCGTGGCGGCTGCCATTCTGGTTCCCTTCTTTGCTCTCATCTTATCAGGGTTTGCATTTTACCTCTACAAACACAGGTACTGTCGATGCGCCACCCATTTGCACTCGGTGACACTGTGAAGTGTTGGTGTGATGAATGCCTGCCCTCACCCTCACACCCACGTGGATCTGCAGCCACACGCAGTGTTCCCCCCGACACTAAGAATGCGCACGTGGCAGGGCTGGGTCTCGTGTGTGTTTAACCCTCACCGAGGATTTGTTCATTGGTTTGAGAGAGAGGAAGGGGGAGGGACGGAGGGAAACAGGTGGGAGAGAGAAACCTCGATGGTTGCCTCCCGTATCTGCCCTGACGGACGGCACCTGGAGCCTTAGTGGTGTACAGACGATGCTCCCACCCACAGAACCCCCTGGCCGGGGCAGTTCTTTTTTTCTTAACGTTCAAATTATACCTTAAAAAATCCACCAGTAATCACTGAAACAAAAGTGTCCTTCCAACAAATCAGGTGATGCTTTGCTAGGCTGATAATTCACATTAATGTGATTTTAACACTTGGTGTACATTTCTTACGTGATTTCACCTGAGAAAGGTGGGGAGGGGGGCAGACTAGATAGCGTTAGGCCTTTTATCTCTAAAAAGCCTTCAACTCTCTAATCTGAGGTCTACCTAGAGTCTGCTTTTAACCAGAAAATGTAAAACTCAATAGTGTAATAGCGAGTACAAGGTCTTTCTATAACTTATGTACAGAGATAAAGTCATATCGCAAAACCGGCTGACACTGAGTGACTGGGTCATGGTGGTGAATGGACATTCGCATGTGTACTTTAATCTTGTAGCCCAGAGGATGGGCACCTGGATTCTCACTTTGAGGACGGGTCACAACGCATGGTAACTTGCCCAAGGTCTGTCACTCAGATGTGGAAGATGGAGGTCCAGCCAAAGTCTTCGGCATCAGCATCAGGGATCGGCCCCATTTACTTGGGTTATTAGTTGGAATCAGACAGTTCTTTGATTTGGAAACCACTTCCATTTGTAAAGTCCTGCTTATAATCTCCAACACCAGTTTAAAATAGTGAACTCTAAACGTGAGCGGTGGCACCCTCCCCATGGCTGCGTGGCGTCTGGTCCGTGGTGCTTCCTGCTGATTGAGGTGTTGTCTCACCTGCACAGGCCCAGGCGCTATGTCTTATATCCATGAAACGAGGGTCCTAACTGTGTCTCCCCTCTTTTCCTCCTAGAACAAGACCAAAAGTCCAGTACAATGGCTACGCCGGCCACGAGAACAGCAACGGGCAGGCTTCCTTCGAGAACCCAATGTACGACACGAACTTGAAGCCCACGGAGGCCAAGGCGGTGCGCTTCGACACAACCCTGAACACAGTGTGCACGGTGGTATAGCCCCTGCGCAGGACTGGACCATAGCCATACCTCGGATGGGCAAGGCGACCTCTGGTGCCATGGACCACGCCCCCCCCTCCCCCCCGCTTGGCCTCGGCTACCTTTCACATCTCATTCCGGCTCACGCAGCGGGGCTGTCCACGGAGCGTGCGGGGCTGTCCACGGAGCCTGCAGAGTCTTCTGAGCACTGGCGACCCTGTCCCTTCCTCCTGACGTGGAGTGTCTGTGTCCGGCTGTGCCTGCCTGCCTGGGGTCAAGGTGCCCTTGAGGAAGACCACCTGGCCGCGCCGCCCTGTGGCACTCAGTGCCTCAGACCTCCTGTGTCTGTGGCTGGGATGCCTTCAATGCACAGTCTGGGCATGTGGGTCCATCCTCCGGGCGCGGTGACAAGACAGCACCACCACATGCAAGTACACTGGGGAAAGGAAAGGAAAACACTGTCTCGGAGAAGAAGACACCGTCCGGCCGCCGCACACACCTGCACAGGCTTCGCGGTCCTCTGGGGACCTGCCACGCAGCCAGGATGCCCAGCTCACCTCAGTGTCCCCCAGGGCCATCTGCGAATCTCCCCGCCAGCTGTCCTACTGCAGAATTTTTGATGCACAATTTTTTGCACTAGTGTGTTATGAATGACTGAGTAAGATTCTGACAAATATGCTATTTACACAGGGTTTCTACACACTCTCCATTGTATATACACATCCTCTCATCCCTCAAGCTGATCACCCCACCCTCAGGTGAGTCCAGGTGTAAGAGAAAGAAGGAAGACACCCCCAGACGTGGCACAGGTTTTCAGGGGAAACACGGTAGAGAAGAGCTTTATTTTGTTATTGCTTCTTTTAGCTACATGTTTGTGTTGAATTTATTGAACAAACAGAGGCCTTTTATTTCCCATGTTTCCCACGTTTCTCCCGCCGTCCTGGGAATGTCTAGAGAAGCTGACGTGTTTCTGTCTGCCTTTAGATGTGAATAGTAATTTATTTTAGGAGCTCGTGGACGTGTGGGCTGCAGCTCACAGCACAGTCTTCCCGCGCACTGTTTTTTTCCTCTGGCTGTGCTTCCCCCGCAGGGGCCCTGAGCCACGGGACTGAGCCACAGGACCCTGCGCAGGGTCCAAGTGCCCAGCACTTCTGGGAGGCAGGGAAACTCACACCCACCCCTCACTGTGCCACGTTCTCTATAGTTTGTCTTCTGTTTCATGCTTTTCCAGGTAGAAAACTTCAGTGGGTTTTCAAGGTTATAATTCATTCCTGGTAAGTTGTAAATGACGGTATAAGTAAAGTAGGTGTGATGCCCAGTGTGGACACAATCAAAATAGGGCCTCGCAGAAGTGGCAATGAGTCGAAGTGAAACCCACGTTTGTTTCTATGTGTCCCCGTTACATACAGACGCTCTGAAAGGCGGCTCTTCCCTTAGTTGGGTTTTGGTCCCTTATCCCACGTACAGAAAACGTCCCCTCTCACAGTCCAGATGGGCACCTCTGGGGCGTGCTGAGCTCCGTGGCAGTGACTGTGGTCACACCTCCCTTCAGTCTGACCCACTGCTTTGTCTGCATGTTAAATGCAGGACTTCACACGTGGGAAGTGAAAAAGAAACTGGCAGGACAACAGGATGGTAGCTTACTGTTTCCAAGTCCCACGTCCTGATCTGAACACTTTAGCCACCTGTCCTGCCCGGTGCCCACTGCCCCTGCCCCGTCCTCGGGGTGGGCACCTGCGTTAGGAGGGCATCGCTGGCCCTTTCTGGCTGCTCCTTGGCCTTTGCTGTTCATGCTTTTGTGCTGAATTCTCCTCAAGTGTCCTCTGGCCACGTGATAGCAGGACAGAGCTTTGCTCTGCGCCCAGGAGCTCACATCCCTTCTCCCAGACCAGACGAGGTGGCCCGAGCCAGGCTCCCGCTCACACTGACCCGACAGAACATGGGCATGTAGGGGGGTGCGGACACAGGGTCACGCCACAGCTTATGTGTGTATATCACACGTTCAGATACAGTGTACACACCCGAGTCTCAGTCGCTCAAACCAGGTGCAGACGGCCGACCTCAGAGCTGAGCCAACGTCTCAGTCCCCATATCCCTGCCCCGCAGTGCTGGTCAGACCTGAAAGGACAGGACACCCGCGCGAGACCCCACATATCAGATTAGGCATCGCTTCCCCTGGGCGCACAGCCGCCCTCGGCGGGCATCTGGGGCCTGCTGTTGAGACACAGTCCCTCCCGACCCGACCTGTCTCCCGGGGTGAGCCGCAGCCCGGGACTTGCTGGGAGAGCCTCCTGACCCACAGGCCCTGGGCAGGGAGCCCCTCGCGGACAGTCACGTGCTTAACGCTGTTCAAAGCTGCTGCTTGTCTCCACTTGCCTTTCTCCAGCTGCAATAACTTTTCTGTAAAATATTTTGTAAACAACAACAACAAAAAGCTATTCTAAAAAAGGGGGAAGAGAAAGCTGGCTCTCCGACCGGGACCCACGGCCACCGCCCGTCCGACATCTCACCACATGCTGCTGACACGAGTTAGGTGCAAAAGACCTTTTTGTACAGAGATATATTTTTTATGAAGAATTTGTAAAATTATTAAATATGCTGTAATTTTTTGATTAATGTAGGTAAATTGTTAAAAAAATAAATGTTTTTACAACACAGAACTGTAATTTTCCCAACAGTGTACATTGTACCATCTCTAGCGGGTTTTCAGTTCCAGCCCATGTATTAATATTACCGTGGCCTGTTAAGATGAACAGTATCTTTTTTTGTCAAAAAAAAATTATAAAGAGAGTGTAATATAGCCTGTGCAATGCCACCTATCTTTAAAGCAAATCAGAGTTCTAATTAAATATTTAATTTTACATTTCTACTTTCAGTGTGAATTCATTGAGCGTTCCCGTGTGCGTGGGGGCGGGAGGGGGCGGGAGTCACCGGGGTCCCTGTATTTGGGGGGGCCTCACTGCTTCCTGAGGCGTAAGCTCCACCTTCATGGTTTTGTTTGTTCTCCCTCCCCGAGGGCACTTTTCCCATGTTTTTTAGAGAGAGCTAGAGGGAGGGACATCAGTGTGGGGGGACAGCAGCTGGTTGCCTCCTGCACGTGCCCGACGGGCTGGGGACTGAACCTGCAACCCAGGCGCCTGCCTTGACCCAGGGTCGAACCCATGGCCCTTGGTGCCCAGGCTGATGCTCCGACTACTGAGCCCCGAGCCAGGGCTCCCCAAAACGACTAATAAGCAGACGGGGGGCGTCACACACAGATGGCCCTTCAGATCAATGCAGGGTTCTGTCCCCTCCAAACTAAAATCCAGCCTCTATTTTTATATATTAAAAAAGCTGAGCTTCTCTCTAAAGCTTCAGCACACTGAAAAGCAACGTAGGAAAGTTGTATTTAACAGCGTTTCAGATGCCAGCCTCGAGGAGGCTCAGGACGGCGGGGCCTCGCCGGGCCTCCCGCGCTCCCGGGGACAGTGCTCTCCACATCCCTCACGCCCTCGCGTGGTGGCGGCTGCCGGAGGGGCCACGTGAAAATACACCCGTGACGGCCCGTCCACGTGGCTCAGTGGACTGAGCATCGTCCCCGTGCACCGAGGGGTCACAGGTTCGATTCCCGGTCAGGACCCTGCAGGAGGCGGTCCATCAGTGTTTCTCTCTCATCACTGATGTCTCTCTCCTCTCCCTTCCTATCTCTGAAATCAATAAAAACCTATTGAAATATATAGATACGACAAACGTCCCCTAATCACAGGGGTGCTGCTACTCAGTGGCGGAATACGACGCAGGGTGGGCCCCGAGGGGGGGCATCTGAGTGGACGTCTGCTACCCAACAGGCACCTCCAGTAGCCGCCCTACCACTTGTCCGCTCCCTGCGATTTTTCCGTAGAATTTCCCACCTCCCCCCGTGGAGATTCAGCACCTTGGACCCCTCCCTCCAGTCAGGGCCTTCGGCAGTGACCGCCGAGCGGCTGAGGTCCAGGCTGGGGACAGCATCGTGAGAGCCCTGAGCCGGGGAGAGGAGCCCCCTTCATCGGAGGCCCCGGGAGAGGGAGGACTTGCAGTTACCAGGTCACGGTGCCGTTGCAGCTCAGACACGGGAACCAAAGAAAGCCAGCCCTGGTTTTACGCGATGTCCTGCGCACTGACCTTGGTTTACTGCAGGCGGGGACGTGAGCCCGTGTTGGACTCGACGGAGCCTTCCACGGGTGACGCTGACCACTGAGCAGGCCAGCTGCGAGCCCACGAGGGCCCCTCTCAGGAGCAGGCTCTAAACAGAAAGCCGGTCTTGTTTTGTTCCCAGGAACGGCAGGCGCCAGGGGCCGCGCCCTTGGATGAGCCTGGAGCCGGGGAAACCTGACTCCCCTGCGTTTCCTTATGAATGAACCTTGAGAGCCTATCTGGAGGCTCTAGCAGGGAGCCCAGCTACTCCAATGCCGTTGACCAAAGACCAGTCCTCTCCTCGGGGGGAAGGCCCTTCTCTTCGACCCTACAAGCAGCTTTGGGGGGGACGCGCGCGGAGGGGGGG